CTTTAAAGAAATCATTTAAAATGTGATACACCTGTCTTTGATCGCATTGTGCGAATGTACAGTTTAAGAAAGGATACAGTGTATCTCAGGTTTGTGGGTGAAGAAAGCTCCTATCCAGAAGCCAACTTGCCACATGGTAGAGGAGCTCTGGGTACCAGTGGACACCATCTGCTTGGTGCACACTGCTGAGCTCTTTCACAATCCCAACCAGTGACAAGAATGAGTGCCACAGTCTAACTGGTGTAAAAACCCAGTGTGCAAGGTCATGATCCTCAATCACTGCATAACAGGATGCCAAAACCCAGTCAACTATGATGGTTCCATGAGATGTTATTGGTGCATATGACCCTTCATACTTCTCCACATAAACTCTTCTCAATCTTGCAGGGATGAGGTGGTCCAGTTGGTTATTTCCAACAACAAGAAGCCACTGTCCTAGTTTCACATAACTGGCGAACATGGCCCGAATGCTGCTGTTAGTGCTGTTGTTCATTACAAAAACAAGGTGAGTTGGAGTCAGTGTCAGTCTATGGCATGGCTCATCAGTTTCCAGTACATGGAACTGTCGTGAAATTGATTGATCTTGCTTCGTAGGACAGGGCCCAGGGGTCCATTTCACAAAGCAGGTTTAGTGAAAACTCTGAGTCTGTTAACCCTGAAATGAGGGAAACTCTGAGTTTTCCATTTCACAAAGGGAGGTAAGTCAAACCAGAGGAAGAGGGGTAACTCTAGTCTGTTTCACAGAGAGAGGCAACTTAAAGCCTCGATCAGTTACTGTAGTTACAGACTCTATGAACCTAACCTGGTCGGGACCAGGGGCCTGTACTACGAAGCGAAATCAACATACCCAGGATTTCTTTCAGAGATCCGGCTTGACTAACCCTAAGAATCGCACTCAGGATAACTGATCCTACGTTATTAGCATCTGACCAATCACGACTATGGACAAGTCTGGCTGCAGAGCGGCTCACTTTACCGCTGAGGAGCAGAATATCATCTTTACAAAATTTGAAGAATAATATAAAAACATCATCGGACCAAAAAGCAGCACCATTGCAGCGACCAAAGCCAGGAAAGAATGCTGGCAGAAAACTGCTGACTGTGTGAATAATTACATTCATGAGTTTATAATATAATAAAATATGATCACTGTTCCATCATGAAGGCAGATCTGAGGATTCCTTTAATGAATGTGCTGCCTAATGTGTATACTTGTGACATATCTGACACTTTTTACTTTCAGCTGCAACCCTAGTGGTGTAAAAAGGACGTTGGAACAAATTAAGAACAAACAGAAACATAATTCAAAGTGGTGTAGCTTATTAACGTATCCTACAAATACAAGCTTTAATGCTGAAGTCAGTGTACTGTTGTGTGGTGATATTGGTATGGAAAAAAATATGAAATCGCTTTGACACTGCCTGTAGCCAACAGGGGGAAAAAAATGAATGAAGGAAGACAGGGGCTCATGGAGATCCTCGTCAGGGTGCGCTGTTTTGCTGGTCCTGAAAAACCCTCACACTCCTCAGTGATGCCCTCACAATTCATGCTCCGATGTGTAGCGGGTCTTCAATAAATGCCAGTGATGCCATTTTGTTGAGAACTGTTTTGTTTTCTACTCCTTCTGAGGTTTTACAGGAGAGAACTGATTTTCAGTGGAGGTGTTTTTACACCCAGTGATCACAATCTCCAACATAACCTGTTGCAGAGCAAGTTAACCATTCAGCATAAGTTCCCATGATGATGTACCCCAGTAAGAAGTGAACCACCGTCGTAGGACCGAAAACCCAGGATTTAACCTGAAGTTACCTCACTAACCCCAAATTCTGCAGCATGTGTGGCTGAAAGAGAGCGGAGACAGAGAGAAACTCGAGGTTCATTGAGACAAACCTGGTCCCGACCAGTATAGGTTCATAGAGTCTGCTACTAAGGTAACTGACCGAGTTCTTAAGTTAGCTCTCTCTGTGAAACAGACTAGAGTTGCCCCTCTTCCTCTGGTTTGAGTTACATCCCTTTGTGAAACAGAAAACTCAGAGTTTCCCTCATTTCAGGGTTAATAGACTCAGAGTTGTCACTAAACCTGCTTTGGGAAACAGACCCCAGAGCTGCAGATGAATCTGCTGGAGCTTTGATCCTTTGGTTACGTGACCCAACATAAAACACTGAGATGTGGGCAGCAGATCCTTTGGGTCCTGTTGGTTGCAGGATGAGACTTTTGTGGATCTGACTTGTTCTGATATGTCCTGCAAATGGTCAATCAGATTTCAAGCTCTTGGCCATGTTCCTTGAGCAAGTGATTGTGATATGATGGGATGCACTGGGAAACATTTTTATGACATACATGCACATTTATCAGTGCCATGGTGTCTTCATTGCTACAGCAAAGCCCTCAAGTACAATGACACCAAAAATATAGCCCAGGCTATATTACAATGTATACAACCTGTATTGCATTATTGAAAATAATAAGATACCTTATATAGAATTGAAATGGGAAATAGATAAAATGCCTCAGCTTTTTTTATTCTTAGCAAATAGAGCCAAGTTAGACAATGAAATCTGTCAGATACGCAGAAGGACCCACGGATCCATCAATCGACTTTTTTTTTTTTTTTTTTTTACTTGATATTGCTCAACGTTGTTTGAAGAGACATGGAGTTTCCTGGAACTAACAAAGGAGGGGAGGACACTTTGAGATGGGCCCCTAAATAAAGTACTTATGCAGTAAAAACTGGAGGGTTGTCAGATATGCAGAAACCAACATTTAACAAAAAAGGTGCAATGATCTTACTGTATATGATCAGTTTGTTTTTAGTAGTGAGTGTGATGAGACAGCAAAAAGCCTTAACTCACTAACATTACAACAACCTGCATACTTCTGGGGCATCATGTCTGACTATTTCAGCATAAGCTCTTGTTACAACCTCATTTACAATAGTTTATTGTTGTGCAAACGCTGAGCCAAGATTATACTATTTTGAGAAAAGCTACGTAAAGTCTGGGCAAAAACTTGGGTTTAGTGAACAAGAGCTACACAGAGAAACATTAATTTGGCGAACAGCCTCCGATATAAATTTCCTTACTCTAAATTACCACGTCAATTTTCATTTTTGGCCTAAAACAGCATTAGCTGGAATTAAATCAGTCATGCACACTTTGCATGAGGTCCATCACAAACTTTTACGTGGTCCGTACTAAACTGACTTAAGACTCAAGCAATTTTACTGAATTAAATTTAAATGGCAGGTTTGTGAACAATGTAAAAAATTATACATACAACAATATATAGTTAAAGATATAATCACTTGGCATGGGAAATCTTAGATAGCCTAGATCAACCCTGGGCAATGCCTCATTCTGGTCTTTACTGGGAACAACACTGCACTGGTAAAAGAGGATTTTATGTGATGTGTGTATGGAACTAGAGGCTAATCTGTCCACTAATGACACTTCTTTCTATGTCCTAATCTTTCCTCCAGCCACTATTCAGAGGATCAGGGCTGCACAAGTAGTTTGAACCTCATGACCTCTCACATAAGTATCAACAACTTCGCAGCAAAGATATCACTGACCGATCTGGCAAAATAAATAGAATTAAATATCAATAATAAACACTAAACATTATGGTAAAGT